GGTTTTAAATTCAGCTATCCTCACAAAACTGTGTCATAATTTTTCACTGTGGCTTCCGTTTTTCTGTACCTCAGAAGCCTATGTTTTTAATAACTCCAACACGCTAATATTTTACACATCCGATGTGACAAACTTGAGATAGGGAAAGGAAAGGGAGCTGGAGCTCGTCATTCACCCGACAGTAAGCTGAGAAAAAGCAGGGAGAGTGGGAGAAGGGAAGAACCTAATAATCATTCACCCCTTACATTTTCACATTCAGCACAGCTCAGTCCTCAAAACCGAATAATCTATAAAAATAATTCGCATCAGCTAGCAGAATAATCTATAAAAATAACTGGCCAACGCACGGGCTGCCCGTGCGAAGATGCGTTTTTTGCATAGTTCCCCAAGTTTTTTTTGCTACAGGCACCGGCTTTTTCGGCAAATGCTTATAGCTAAACAAGTTAAGACTGGCCGCTAGAACTGTCAGAAAACATCCCCCTTGAAATTTCAGCTTCCCTGGCTCCTCAGTTAGCAACTGACTGGAAAAAATTTTCATGGACCCGTGCGAGTTTAACACGCATGCCCGAGAGTTAGGTTTGAGCTGAATGAAACCTAGGTGGACGGGGTATATCCTCATAAAATTACAGTCCTTTAGCTTCTGAGGTACTCGAGTTATCAGCTCGCCCGAAAAAAATTTTGGCAGTCCTGTACGCGGGTACCACACTTACCCGGGAGCTGGATTTGCGCTCACTAATACCCACTTGGACGGGGAAAATCCTCTCAAGATTTCAGCGTTCTAGCTTCTCAGATCCCCGAGTTATGAACTTACCCGGAAAGAATTTTAGCGGGCTCGTACGCGGGTACCACACTTACCCATGGGCTGGGTTTGAGCTCACTAATGCCCACTTGGACGGGGAACATCCTCCTAAGATTTCAGCGTTCTAGTTTCTCAGATATTCGAGTTATGAATTTACCCGAAGAAAATTTTGGCGGGCCCGTACGTGGGTACCACGTGGGTAATGGCGCCAATTTTGGGCATTGGGGCCCGCAAGTGCATGTAGATTAAGTTCCCAAAACTTCAGCCCTGTAGCTTTTGTAGGTCTTGAGATGAAAAACC